ATTTTTTGGTTGCAGCCGTCATTGTTGTTTGGCGGGTCCGGGCTGGGGATTCGAACCCGCCACCTTAGGTGCACGTGGCTGGCGCCTCAGCCGGTTGAGCTATAGGCGCTGAGCCCACAAATTTTTTAAAAAAACTTGTTGGGTGTGGTGGCATGTGCCTACAGTCCTAGCCACTCAGGAGACTGAGGTGGGAGGACTGCTTGAGCCCATGAATTCTAACATGGGCAACAGAGCAAGATTCTGACTCTTAAACAACAGTTCTGTTTTCAGGGTGCTGAAAAAACCCAACAACCTCCACCCCTCAAACCACCCTTTCACACCTCCCCATCCTTTCTAAGGGAACTAACGTAGCATGACCCAGCCAGTGGTAGAGGGTGCTGCTGTGCAGGTGTGTGCCCTCCCCCACACCTGGGCGGGCAGCAGCAGGCACCTTCACACAGGAATACTGGCTGCAGGTTTATGCCTGGTGAAGAGGTGACTCAGCTCTGCCTGTAATGGCTTGGCTCAGGAGGGTCACAGAAAAACAATGGCTGCCCCTCAGGGCACCAGCAGCCATGGCACTGAGGCAACTACCTTCTATGTGCCAGGTACTGGGTGCAGTTTACTCCTCATGCCACCGCAACCACTGTGGAAGCCAGGTGCTCCAGTCTCACCATCCCCTTTCTACATGGGGACAGGGGTTCAAAAGGGCCACTGGCTGGGCAGAAGCGGGAGCACTCCCACACTGCGCCCCTTTCACCCAGCATATAAGGATGCTTTATCTTCTTCATCAAAGTTCCTTCTACCCTAGTCCAGGCCTGGGACCAGGGCGAGTCCTCAGGAAACGGTGGCAGAAGTGGCACATGTCTCATGGGCAAAAGAAATAGTTTCTTTTAAAAAGTATCTCCGTGTTTTGAGCAGGAAGGTTCCTGTCCAACCAGGGATACAAGACAGAAAGTGGCTCAGAGAGGGTTGGGCTTGCCCAGCAGCCAGGCTCCAACTTCTGGTTCCCTCAGGTCACCCTCTTCTTGGCTCTGGGGTTCCACCTCATCACCTCCGCTAGGGATTTATCTCACTCCTCACAAAAAGACAGAGAACCGAGAAGCCTCAAAGCTCTTTTCATTTCCCTTTGGATTCCTTCTCCACCTCCCACAGCCTGTTTCCTTTCATCTGCAAAAAGATGGGGCCCCCGAGGCTTAAGGCAAATGAGGAAACACAGAAGGATTCCAAGAACCAGCTCGTTAAAGCTACAGCAAATTCACGAAGCCCCTAATGTCCCCAGGGGAGAAACCTACTTGTGAAATCTGACAGACCTGGGGAGAGTCTCTGAGCCTCAGTTTTCTCAACTGTAAAAAGGGGTGATGAATCTGACTCCTTACAGGGCTGTCGCGGGGCTGTCACACGCTGGGATCCAAGTTCCCACCGCAGCCCCGGTCTCAGCCCTGGCAGGAGCCTGGCCACAGATACCGCTCTCCTGCGGTCACTCTTCCAAACCGCTCCTTTTTTTTTTTTTTTGGCCAAGGCGTCGTTCATCCTGGCGCCCGCGTCCCCAGCCTCACCTCCCTCGGGGACGCCCGCGCTCCGCCTCGCGGTCCCTCAGTCGCCCTCCTGCCCGCAGCTGCCGCGCCCGTCCCCGCACCTCGTGCTCCAGCTTGTGCAGGAGGCGGCCCCAGTACCGCTCGGGGACCCCCGAGGCACGCAGCGCGGGGCCGTGCAGCGCCGCGAACTCAGCCAGGGCCCGCGCGCCCTCCTTGGGAGGGTTCTTCGGCCCCAGCTCGGCCTCCATGGCGCCTGCACCCCCGCCACAGCCTACTCCAGCGCCGCCGCCGCCCGTGGGCCCAGCCCTCCTGACTCTGCCCGCCCGCCAGCACTGCGGGCCCCGCCCTCTTTCTCGAGCTCTCCCGGGGCCCCGCCTCGGCCCGCCCTCTGCCTGTTCCCCACGGATCCCCGGGTCGCCAAGCTAGGGGACCAGAGATGCCGAGTGTATACGCAGGCTGAGAGCGTGAGCGCAAAGTCCCGTGCACGGGGTCCCCGCGCGTGTGTCAGTCTTGGACCGCCTGCGTGTGCGCACGCGCGCCCGACGGGGGCGGTGTCTTTCACACGCACCCCAAGGCTGTCGCAGCGAATGCCGGGAGGCTGGGCTGCCCGCTCCCGCCTCGTCGGAACCGGAAGAGGCAGGAGAACGTCCGGAAGCCCGGCTGGAGCATCCTGCTCCAACCACGTTTTGTCGTCCTGCGGACTCTTTGAGAGCGTCGCCAAATTTAGGTGATGCAAAATCTTGGCCTTCTCGATTTCTTTATACAGTATTGGGATTCAGAATGTAAACGTATCCAATGAACACCGGATGTCCTATCAAAATAGTTTTTTTCCCAAGTTAAGTTACATGCAAGTGCAGTTGAGCCCGGCGGCGTGCGTCTGTAGTGTCAGCTACTCGTAAAGTTGAAGTGGGATCGCTTGAACCCAGGAGTTGGAGACCAGCCTGGACAACAGAGCGAGACCCCCGTGTCTAGAAGGAAAAAACTGTGTAGTTAACAAAATTGTGAAAATTCCTTGAACTCTCATTTTTATTTTTTGGTTCTGTTGGGCCATAGGGATGCATTTCAATGTCTTTCTGTTTGCGCTTTTCTAATTATTTGTAATTTGCGAAGAAAGGCTGAACTTTTCTTTTGGTGCTTCAGTTGCTGTTTTTTTTTTTTTTTTTGAG